CTATAGAGTTCAAGGCGGAAATGGGATAACGCTTAAGCAGGCGCTTTCTCGTGCTCGCGAGGTGTGTACATAAAAGCTTGCTCTTCCAAGAATTCATTAAATAGGCATCAAAACCAATCAGTGTTATTTTTAATTACAATTTTTTCGAGTTTTCAAAGTTTGCCAAACCCATCAAACCAACAACCCAACTGAAGCGGACCGTATCCGCAACTGATTAATTTTCATTCAATTCACGTTTACACTTGTTTTTACTGTTACTGTGGCTGTGTGATTGTATGTAAATGCATAGCATTTGGAGAAAAATATTAAAAACAAAATCAATTGAGTAACTTTAGCTTTACCCAAATAAAGTTAAGCACCGCAAACTAAAAGTTAACCACAGTCTAAGCTTATAAGTGTTATTTAATACAAAGTACATACATGCATATTTATGCATATTAATGAAAAATTAATCACTTGGGGATTAAAAAGTGTTTGAACTTCAAGTTTTGTGCCGCAACCGTTTGGTGTATGGCGGCATAACATTAAGCTACACCCACAAAGAAAGTTTTAAGACCAGAAAATTTTCCAAATGAAATGCTTCTCAAGCCATTCATATTATTATGCTACATCTGCTTAGCAGAGTTACGCTAAAAAGTGTAAAAAGTAATTTTCGAAAGTCTGCAATTCTGACGAACAGCGTGTAAACTAAAGGTACAGAATTTTATGATTTATTTGCGCCACACAAAGCAATCACCTTGCATTAAAATTGAACTTGTATGGGTGAATAGAAAATTTGAATGCGTAAATTTGCATAGCTTATTAATTCAATAAATCTGGAAAATTGTGATTTGTTTTAGAAAATTTATCTAATAAAGTGTTTATTTTAAAAGTTGGCAACTGAATATAAGATAAAGGTATCCATTCATGGAAGAGAGAAAAAAAAATAATGCGGTGAAGTGTGCTAAAGACCCAACGTTCTCGTCGAAGTTGAGTAGAAGGTGTTATTGTCCAGTTTCATAGTCCGTCTAATGATCTTCCGAGGGCACTGAAATTTTAGAACATATAATTCAGTAAATCTCGATTCTTAGCTCTGACTTATATATAGCTTATATTTTTAAGAAGGAAAAAAACTAGCGGTGCATCGAGTTTTTCCACCGGATCTTTGACAAAGAATGTTCGATCAGACTAGCAGATTTTAAATGATGCTTGGAATCCCTTTTTGAAGGCTCTTACACTTCCGACTTTAAATAACGTAGAAAGCAGACGTAAGCGGACAGTTTTATAACAGAGGTGTATAGTCAAGCGTCCAAAATATATCCCTATAAAAGAATATTGCCTGACGAGGCACGAGGCGAGCAAACAAAATGACTGTTATTTATTTACAACTTTTGCTAAAAATAAATAAATCAAAAGAATATAAATTATTACACATGCTTTCTATTTGTATGTGTACTAATTTTATTTGAAGATTGGTCCATAAAAAACATAATAGCGAAAGTAACAAATGCAGCTATTGGAAGAGCGGAAAAAAATTGTCTATTTTACGTAGTCAAAAATCCTTCCCACCGATAGAACGGTTATATGTATAGCTTGAGAAGTAATATGTTTAAAGAAATATCAAAGTTAACAAATCTGGTAACTTCGACGAGTATTCTTTTCCATTGATTTACAAAGCCAGAATGCAGGGCCACACTTCAAGCTAACGTGGGCTGCACGTTTTAAGTGCCTTAAAATTCGCGTTGATTTTTGTGAATTCTTTTGATTAGAGACGTTTCGCATTTTCCTCCACACAAAATTCTTCTATTCTAAAATAATCGTTTTTTTATATATCGAAGAAAATACACAACTTTTATAAAAAATCTGATTAAAAATTTTAAATTATGATAGCAAATTTTTGAAACTAGTTGAATTTTCGTAAATTTCGCATCAAAATTACTTAATTTTTTTATGAATTACGAATAAGCCGTAAACTATGGTAATGTGAATATGCTTTATAAAATCGCTAAAATGGAAGCCCCGAAAATTGCGCCGTTTGAAAAAAATCCTGTTACTTTTTTATGCTGACTACATAACCTTATTTTACAAGTCCCCCCTCTCCCGCTGCCTGGGTAACGCTGCTCATTAAAATCATGTTTTCCTCCAACGCACTGATAGATAAATTTCGAGGCATCGAAGACGTGGCACTGCCCACAAAATATTTATTTATCTACATATTTTGTTACTGTTGCATATAAGTATGCATGTATAGAGCAAAAGAGTAGCTGGGCATAAAAGAATAAAGTTTTCACTTAGTTTTCAAGCTAATTATGCTAATGTAATGGAATTCGATACAGTTGCTGATGGGGTTGTGCCAAGCGATGCTAGCTTCATTCAAGCATATCAAATATTTGTCCATTTTTCCATCCCCTTAGGACTTAAAGTAATTCCTAACAACTCTATTAACATTGCTCACATCCTTTATGAATATCTACTTGTGTACATACATACATACTTCTAACGTGGAGACATTTCTTGCCTAAAAGCTTAGCTACTAAATAAAAAATTTAAAAGACGCAGTTAACCATAACACAGCGCATTAAGCTCATACAAAGCATCATAAACTGGAGTGTGTAAAAAAATCACTTAAAGCAGAAAAACGAAATGGCGAACAATCAGCAGTGGGTAGTAATTTGTAACTTTATGCGTCACATTAACGAAGCAAACGGCAAAGAAGTGCTTAAGTGCAGACATTCGCATAAAAATATCTATAATTTCTTCTACATATACATGTATACATAATTGCGTCTTTACTAACAGAAGAGGCATTAAAACTAAGCAAAGGAAATCTTTGTAGAAAATGAAATTCGCGTCGCCACAAAACCAAAAAAAAAAAAAAAAAAAAAAAAAAACAAATACAAAGCAAGTCCCCAAAAAAACTGAAATAAGTAATGACCACAACCGAGAATGAAATATATCGGATAACAAAGTAGCAGGGTGCATTATTCATTAATAAAAACGTCACTGAAATTCATACTTAATTGTCATCTACATTACACCAAAAGCAATCAAGCAAACATTCCAGTGATGTCTTATTTCATCAAAATGCAAATGCTGAATGTGGCTGGATGTAAATATGTAGTACCTATACACGAGAGAGCGTAGTCATGGCGGAGCGTTCACAGGAAATGACAAATTAAGGAACAAATTAATTGTCGAAAAGAAGCCGAACTTGCATACTTTTATTGAGTTACGGAAATCTCGTCCGCTGGTCGTGACAACACGAGTGGGTGTACAGTGGTGATTAAAAAATTAGGCAATATTAAAAAAAAAAAAAATGTCAACAAATGGACTTTGAAAACAATTATCGCCCGGGAAAAGACAAAAACCAAAAAATAATCAAAAAATAAATTTGTTTTGTTGTTTATTTTACAATTAAAAATTTGAAAAATATGAACTACATACATAATTTCATTGTATGAAAAATTTGTATTTTGAATCTTTGACTATTTTATCCTTTCGAGTTTCTAACTCATAAAACTTTAATCTCAATAGTTGTAGCACCATTGAACCACAAGATACATTTTAAAATTTTTTCATTCGATTTTCGCGAAGAAAAGCCTTGAATGTACTAAACGTGCGCTCGACGTGAGTTGATACAAGTGGCGCCCAATTTAAATATGCAACATTTAAAACCTTCATATTATCAGGAATAAGGGCCTTTTCCTTGCCCTTTGCAAGTAAAGGCCAGGATTGCAGCTCTCAAGAAAATGGACAAGAAAAATATTGCCATTATTCGTGTGTGGGTCCAAGGAATTTTGACATCTGAAATAAGAAATATTGGAACGGGCATATATTTCTGTTGCAAACAAGGGTTGCCTTGTGCTCTTTTTTCAAAAAAAAAAAAAAAAAACTTTCGAAAACCGTACTAGAAAGCGTAGCAAATTTCTTAAGAACTGCGTACTGCCTTAAGAAAATCTGACACAAGAAAATTTCTTAGCCATTTCTTGTACGTCATTTTATATGGAGTTTTCGCTTTTCTGGAGAGCTGCATACTGGCCTTTAAGGTAGAAAAGGCGGAGAAAGGCAACATCAAATATGGTATTATTAATCGAATATACTCTATCTCTTTAGTAGAAAAAAGGCGATTTCCATAAAATCCATTCCCTGCTAGTAATACTTAAGCGATGTTGTAAGGCTTGGACCTTTTTTCTTTTATACCAAATATCCACCCACCACTGTATTGCTTTAGGACTTTCCATTAGAACTTGTTTGTTCTTTTAATTATATACATACATACCCACAAACATCCATACACATGTATGTACATATATTCACATATTGAGTATTTTTGTGTACAAATGGGCAAACATACATACAGTCAGGCAATAAAGTTTATGTACAGCGAATTTTTTACAATACGGGTAACTATTTTTTAGATATTTTATTTTTCGCGAATTTTTTATAAAAATATGGTTAATTCTACAGCAAAAATCCCAAAAATCAGAGTTCCAAAACTTGTGCAAAATTAAAGAAAATTCCATTCAAATATTGCACTTTTTATTTACGCTCCCTAGAAAAAAGTTGAGTATGCAGTTTTTTAGCCCATTCAATTTTAGTATAATAAAGTGCAAGAATGAGGAAGCTAGGACTTACCATTGAATTTTGGCAATTTTTTTTTTTTTTTTTGCAGGTGTCGCACATTTTTTCCATATAAAAAAATTGTCGAACATTATTTTTGCATAAGGTTTGCAAATCTGATTTTTGGGGTTTTTGTTATAGAATTAACCATATTTTTATAAAAAATTTGTGAAAAATGAAATATTTGAAAAATAGTTGCCGGTATTGTAAAAAGTTCACTGTACCTAAACTTTATTGACTGACTGTACATATTTACTTTAATGACTATTCGCTAGTTTGTGCCTTGCTTTATACAAACTTATATACATATATACGTACTACTTATTTGACAACCTGTCTAGATATACAAACATACATCTTTGGTAAATTTTATTTTATTTTTTATTTTTTTGCAGGCAAACTTCAATTTCAGACCATCGACGAAGCAAAAAAAATCACAGTAAAAGCAATTGTTAATTCATCATCATTGTATATTTGCTGATCCCCAAGCGCATAAAAGCAATCCAATAGCTAAGGATAAGTGGAAAGTCTGACAACGCCAACAAAACCAAAGAAGCAGGAGGTGTGAATATTTTCAAAAGCCATTGGCTGCTTAACGCATGGCAGCTCAGCTCCAACGAAAGTTTCTTTCAACTACATGAAGACATTACAACGTCTATGTTGTCGTCACTCACGTCAATCACAACGTCAAAAACAAAGCCAAAGGCAAAGCCATTTCGTCGAGATTGTTAACACAACAAAAGTGAACGCTCTTACCACAGCAATTGCCAACAGCACTGAGTCAGGAGCCAGGAGCCTGGAACTGCCTACGGCGGCAAATACATACACAAGTGTGTTTGCAAAAATTCACACATATTTAACGGTGATTATTTTCCAAGATATCCAACAAGCAGAGTCGAATTCTCCTTTTTGTGTTTGACAGCAGCGCCAGCGCTCTCACCACACGCATAGCAGTTCGGCCGCCAGTCACTGGGCTGAACGTGGAAATTCATTTGGCGCTGTTCGCATCGCAGCGTCACACTGATTTTCTTTACTTTCCTCCTTTGCTGAACGAAATTTACACCAAAAATGGCTGGGGGTGGGCGCACAGCCGGCAAATACGGATATTCCGACAACAGTTACTACAGTGGTAAGTTCATAAATTTATTCATGGCCTCTTACAAGCAATCAAACTAGTACATACTTTTCCGCGCCACACGCTTGGGGGCGAGTACCAAAATGATGCAGCAGCGACGAAATTATTATTAGAAGCGAGGAGAGCACGCGGTATGCATCCTGCCCGCTCTCCCCCCCCCCAATTTCCACTACTACTACTACTTTATATATGTACATACTGACATTTTGACACACTGCAGGATTCCAAGTGTCAACGATAAGCTCACAGCAACAGCAGCAAACATATGCGTCACATACAAAGCAGTAAAATGAATGACTTCTTACACAAAAACAGACAGCAGCA